TTGATGATACAAATAATGATTAATTATGTGTCACGTTTCCAAATGTAAATATTAATGTACTACATAAGACGTTGTATGTGATTACGAAGTAAATTGTTACAAAGTCTTTCTATCGCTTCCCTGCTAATACATTTACATCCCTCCAAACCAAGATATTTTAAATTGATACATTTGCAGGCAATTTCCTTAATAGCTCTATTACCAATTATACATTGACCAAGTTCAAGGTGTTTAAGTTTCAGGCATGAACGCACAATAGCATGAATTCCTAAATCAGTAACATATCCACAATCATAGATATCAAGATGTTCTAGTTTATGGCATGAGTTCACTATTTCTTTGATAGTGTAATCAGTAATACTATGGCATTCAAATAGACATAAATATCTAAGGTTTTTACATAAACGTGCAAAAATATGTACTGTAGATTCACTAATAAAGCGGAACAAGCCAAGGTTAAGATGTTGTAAATTATGACATGAACGTGCAATTGCTCTGATAGCAGTGTCGCTAATATATCCACATTCAAAAAAGTCTAGTCTTAATAGATTCAGATATGCATGAGCAATGTTAATAATTGCAGTATCACTGATAGCTAGCCTACCTATAGCATTGAAATTTAGATACACTATATTTGGACATGATTGAATAATTCCATTGATTTTATTATCTGACAAACTATCACAATATGAACAAATAAGATTCCTTACACTTGGTCCATGGAATGGTTTCAAATTTGTACATATTTCTATAAACTTTGCTTGTCGCGTATAACCCAATTCAATATGTTTCCATAGGATTTGTCCTGCAATGCAATACCAAAACCGGTTAACATATAAGGTAGGATAAAGAGCTTTGATATTGTAAGATTGGATCTAAAAAGTCTGCTAATTCGAAAAGCTTAGATTGCATTTTTTTCATTACCTGGGAATATATATTTAGTATCTAATGTTTTTCATCATCAAAAAATTTATCTTTTTTTCTTGCATCTAGTATGGGTTTCACAATGACCAACCATATTACCGCAATTATTAAAAGAGTGAGCATTGCATACATAAACTTAGGTGAGAATAGATTACTTCCTACAATAGGTATTATTCCAACAGGCAATATCTTGGTCATTTCTGTTTTAACAGTGTGGCTTTGATCATTTCCAGGCCCTTCAGGGGCAACTCTGTGAGTTATGAAATCAGTTTTAGAAACGGTATCTTCCGAAAAATCTTTAATCTCTACTATTTGTGAGGTATCAACATGGCCACCTTCACTGATAGAAGACTTCATATTAGTTGATCTTGAAGAATCAGGTATCCAACGGAGTCGATTGGGACCGTAGCAATCCCACCAAGTTTGTGTTTTACATTTTTGTCTATTTTTAATCCCAAGCGATCAGCAATATCTTTGGTAATAATGAAAGTATTAGAACCAGGATCGACTGTAATGGCAGAAAGCACTAAACGATTGATTTTGCCTCTCACAGTTGGAACATCTATTTCGCCCTTATCCCGAACAAAACCAACTTCCATATTTTCGATTATTTCTTCATCCTCGGTCTTGCCTTGTGGGAGGTTATCAGCAGGATTAGAATTCTGGATGATTCTGTGTATAATCCCCTCCAATAAAGCAGAATTTTCAAGCTCGCTTTGGATTATCTCACGAATTCGTCATTCTAGTAAAGTCAAAGTGGGATTTTGCGATCCTTGAAGAGGGGTTCGATTCTCCTCACCCTCTGAAAAATATGCATCTTTCTTGTCTTTGGATCAGGATTGTTTATCGGATGTTTTCTTAATGAGTACTCTAGGTTGATCTATTTTTTTTTAATTCTGGATACATTAACATTGGATTCCTCATCAGATACATCATCATCAATTCATCATTGCCTTTTTGATCAGAAATAGCAGATTCATCAGGAAATTCTTCTGTATCAGAGTGGCTTTGTTGGAACCCATCGGCAAAATTCACACAACCGGTTCTTTTTCTAGAATTATTAACCATCATATTCTTAATTATGGGACAACTGCAATAAGTATGACCTAGCTTTTTACAAATCTCACATTTGCATTGAGCTTGTCTAGTACTTAATCTAGGACCTCTAGCCAGATTTATTGTCGGACTTTGTGAATTGGACAACCCTTCAAGCTGATCTATTTTATTCGCAACATTGACTATTGTGTAATCAATTTCCATTGGTTCAAATACTCTATTATCTTCTGCCTCAAGACCCAATTCCGCATAATTTTTTAACTCTTCATAATATTTGGCTTTCTCAGTTTTGGGGCGGAAATTTTAATATGAGTCAGAGACTCTATGCTCTGCATATTCATATACTGGAGGATTTGGAGTTCATTGAAGTGGTTGAGATTTTGGTTGTTGTACAATTTGCAAAGCTAAACATTGTGTCTTCGACTCTGAGCTCCATTATTTTAAATTTAAATTTTTTTGAATACTCTTATAGAACGACAAAAAAAAAATCTGAACAAAATTATCATATAAGCCAATAAATATTTTTTTCCATGCGGACTACTTCACAACATAATTAGAATTTTCTTGAATTA